TCTTGAGTTCCTGAGCTGGGGCTCACTTGCGATAGAGAGTGTAAAATATTTTTTCTTGCTTAAAATTACCATAAAAGAAAAATTTTTAACAAAACGAACGTAATCAGGAGAGAGTTTTTTTTGTATTTTTATTTTATTTATTTATATTAGGAAAACATATATATAAAAAAGCACTTTTTTCTTTGGGAAATAATAGAGTTGTTTGGTTTCTCTCACATTTAATAAAGTTTTCCTTTATTAATTATAAACAATGCCTTGTTTACTACTTCTTTAATATAAAATATTATATATTGTAATATAAAATGTTACAGTTATATTGAAACCAAAGTTGACTTGTATCAATTTAATTTATAATAGAAAAATTATAAAGAGTTGACAAAAGATTTTCTTCAAGGGTTTTGATATAGAATTTCTCTAAAAAAATAATAATAATATTTTTTTTTGTTTTTTTTGTTTTTTCTTACTTGTAACTAATATATAAAAAAAAACAAGAGGGCCAGTACTGAATTACGAAAAACACCTCTAATATATATGACTTGGGCTATAGCTAATTGTAGCAGAAAGATAGTTGATATTTTACTTTTCATATGATTTATGTTATATATAGCTTTTATTTCCTTGTTAAAATTAAGAAAATATCAATTTATTGCTTCAGATTATTTTCTTGAAGTTATGAATAGACCAATTTTTATACTCAAGACATTAAGTAAGTCTTTCTTAAATATTTTTTTCAAAAACAAGCAATTTAGAACAGGCAATATGAGGTTTTAACTTCCTATGATGTAAAGTTTAACAAATAGTTCTTTCAAATACTTTAATTTTTGTTTTTGATATAAAAAAATTTATTAATTCTGCATTGCACAAAAACTGATTTTTTTTATTGATAACAAGTTTTTTAAGAATAATACAGATGTGATCGTCAAGAAGTCAAGATTATCCAGTTTGGAGTTGTAGTTTTATAGATTTGATTTTAATAAACTTATTTATAATATTATCCATAACAGATTTTTATATCTGATATAAGTTGCAATAGTGTAATACAAGTTTTTTCTTTTAAAATCATAAATTATAATTAATTTTTATTTGAGTGTTAATTCTTTTCTTGCATCCATATTAGTGATTATACAAAATTTAGAAAAAAAAATATAAGATAAATAAAAAAATTTTTTTAATTGACAATATTAAATAAATATGTTATTATATTTTTATAAAAAAATAATTATAATTATTAAAATAAATATTATACAATTAAAAAAATAACTATATAACAAGATATATTGTTTTAAACTTTCTTTTTAATATTAGTCATTTGATTACTATAGGCAAACTAGCATTTAACTTATTATTTTAACATATAAAAAATGTTGTTTCTTTTATGATATATATCTTGTTATATATAAATCAAATAAAAAAATAATATTTACCTATAAAAAAAAACAATTAAAAAATAAAAGTGTTTATAAACTTTTGACAATCCACTGTAGTCTAAGTATTTTTATAACTTAAATAATTTTCTTGATTTTTATAGTTTAATATCCAATTTTAAATCTTTTTCTAATATATATATAACTTTAACTATATAGTCAAAATATATAAAAATTTTTATAATATATACTGTATAAAGAAAATAACTTCAAAAAAAATACAATTTTATTATATAATTTAATTTTTTTTTTAAATTGTTAAAGCTTCAGCTTTTCTCATAATTTTATTAATTGAGTATGAGTTTTATCAATATATAATTAATTTTTAAATCTAGAAATGTATTATTATACATACTAGCTTACCACCTATAAAGTAGATATATTCCTAAAAAAAACTTATTACAAGAAAAAAAAAAGAAGGAATTATCTACTTAAAAAAACGAAAGAAAAACTAAGGGCTTCAGATTTGTGAAAGAAGTAAAGAAATAAAAATGAAATTATAAAGAAGAGTAAATATAGAAAAATATGAAATTTGTTTCAATAACTGGTTAGGCTATTTCTTCCAGTACATTACTCCATTGTTGACAGTGGTGTAAATATGGTAAAGATATTGGATATAATTGGATAGATTGAAATATTGATGTAAAAAGTTGATAAGTTATATAGCTAAAACCCATGCAGGGCACTGATTATGCACTCTCCCAATCTGACTATGTTTGTAATTTGTGGTGGTTTTGGTGATACATATAGTTGTTTTGGTGTTTTTGTTGTTGATATTATAATACGAAATATTGTTAGTATATTGTGAATGTCGATCTTTTGATAGGAATAAGCTGGATTCAGTTTTTGTATGAAAAAATTTGGCAAGGACTAATAACTAGCCAGAAGATTGTGATAAATCTAGTACTAATTGTCATTAGCAGAAAATAAAAACTCTGAAAAAATAAAATGCTATCTCTTGAAGAGAAGATTATATTTGATTTTGTATGTGTTTTTGTGATGTGATAGATAGTAATGTGTGTGAATACAATAAAAAGGTTTTCTTTTATTGGAGATTGTTTACATAGGTTTCACTCAGTAAAGCAAAGAGTTTAATTGAAAAGGTTTTTGCTGTCCTCAAAGTATCCACCTCTCTATGGAGAGTTAATCGACCCCTTGTACCTTGCAGAAAACTAAGATGGACTCCTCTTTCTGGAAAAGATTTTCACTTACTGTTTACTGTCTACCATTCATGTCATTACCAAAAAAGAAAATTTTTTACGAATTGGAGAGTTGTGGAAAAGAGTTTTGTTTTTTTTATTATATAATTTAAATATAACTTGTCAAATATATAATAAATATTCTTTAATAACTTTTTCTACAGATTTTTATATAATAATTTTTACAAATATATCAGTATTTTCTTTGTAAAATTTTTTGATTTTATTAATACAACTAGATATTATTTAAACAATATAACATATAATCTTTTAATTATATTTCATTTTTTATTTTAATATTTCAAAGAATTGACTTTTGCCCACTATATTATCTTCAACTCTATCAAAACAAAATTTTTATAAATAATATCTAATTAATTTAAAATATTTATCAAATAATATATTTGATATTTTATTTGATATTTTTTATTAATATTTATCAAATTGTATAGTAAAAATAAGAAATAATAAAAAAAATACTTAAAAAAGTTTTCAATTATTTAAAAAAAATGACAAAAATTAACTTTATATTAATAATACTTAAAATTAACAAATTGATATATAATAATCAAGTTTTATCTAAAATTCAAGTTTTATTCAATAGATTAATTTACTACTTCACTTTTCAGAAAATCTATCAATTAATAACTCATAACATAACATTAATTATTAATAAATGAAAATTTATCATTATCAAATTTTAAGACTTTTCATTGATTTTTCAAAATATAAATCAAAAGAATATATGTTTCGAACAAAAGTCTTACTAATCTTATTACAAAAAAATAAAATAAATTATTTAAATTATTTTTTTTTTCCTTATTTAATTATGCAAAAATTTAATTTAATTTATATTAGAGCAATATTGGTTCCGCGAGATTATTACTCGCAATTCGCGAATTTCGTTACGTGTCGATCACGCGACTCATTTGTGGTGCTCGATAGCACGCACTACACGGGAGCATTTTTCTGCACCCCAAAATAGCAACTTAAACTCTGCTGAAAAAGTACGATCAAACATACTTATATGCGTAAAACAACTTTATTGATTGATAAAAACTACATTATTATGATCTCATCACAGGAATCAGGATTAACGAACACTCAAACTTAAATCTGATATATGATCAGCAATTTTATTTTTTCGGTGTATATGACATCTGCGTTACAAATAAGGATGCACTATTGTTTTCAGTCGGTGTGTGAAGATTTGCTTCCATTATGTATAAATTCAAATTATTTAAGCTCTGGATAAGCAATTCCTATAAGGCATTATACGTTTCGGTTAATATATAAAAAAGCTAAACAAAAAAGACGTGCATACCTTAAATAGAAGGAAGTTTCGCACAGATCGCCATAACAATACTACATTATTACGATTCGTTGGTAATTGGAACCGCTGAACCTCTCTATACACATATAACCCTTTATATGGCACAGTCATCTCGTAAACAAATGCAGTATGATCTATAACCATCTGAGTAATAGCGAAGCATGCATAGAAACACAATAAAGATTACCATCTGTAATAAAATACTTACCGTAAATTTGTAAACCATATAGCTTTAGTAAGCTCAAACTTTCCCCGATACCTCCATACATTCGTACTATTCTATTCAACATTACTTTTAGCATTTTTGCAATTTTAAGCTTATCTCCAAAAAAGTGTGAATGCTGACGTTGGTTAGGCGGACCACTAACTTCTCCGATAGCAAATTCAATTTTTGGCAATGTTGTCCAAACAATATCGATTTTTCGTCCGCTACTGCGATCCTCTTCATCATTTTTGGTCAAGTCATAATCCTCCGCTGATGCAAATAAGGATATCTCGCCACTTGATAGATTAAGTTTTTTATTAAGGTATAATAAACAGTCTTAGAATGCATATTGCTTGTCACTTACAAAAAAACCTTCATATCTTCACGTAATTTTTGAAATAAGCTTCGCATGATTGGTGTGAAAAAGACTTCACGGTACATTCTTTCGGTTAAGTTCTCATTAAGAAGATCATTTCCGCGCTCAAAGGAATTAGCACTAATAAAAAAAGAAATCAAAAGTTAGCTATAGAAATTATATTGTATAGTCTAATGCAAGTTGTAATTTACAGTTGGTATGCAAAGTCCCACGTAAATTTTTTTCTATCATCATTTCTCGTCGATAAAAAATTGTTTTCTACGGCCTTTTGAAAATCAGGTTCCTGTAGTGAAAAATGTGGCAATAAGACATTTCTGAAGCCTAACCAAGTCTAATTTCTCAAAAATTAAATACCTTGATTGCTTTCACAATTAATTCCTTGACATCACTATTGTCGATATCAGGTATTGATGATCCATATTTCATCATTTCTTCGAATTCGTCTTTTGATCGTTTCTTAACAAAATCACTGTTGGTACCGGGTGTAATATCAATTATATCGTAATACGCAAGGCTATTATTTCCAAATCATATAAGTCAATATATTACTTGCGCAATACATCTCGCAAAAAAATTAATAACTTACTCATTGTGTGGACGCTTTTTTTCATTCTGCCACAATGTCAGCGAATCACGCACGTTAACCTTATTGGTACCAATAATCCATTCTTCATTACGCTGAAGAGTTGTTTCTTTTGCCCACTTATCCAGTTCATCATTAC